TGCATCGCCCGTTCTACAATGGAATCTAAATTCATAGCTTTAGATAAGGCCGGTGAAGAAGCTGAATGGCTCCGGAATTTCTTGAAAGATATTTCATTTTGGCCCAAACCTTTGGCACCTATTTGTATACATTGTGATAGTCAAACGGCAATAGGCAGGGCAGGGAGCGTTAAGTATAATGGAAAATCTCGTCATATACGACGGAGACACAATACCGTTAGACAACTACTCTCTAGTGGTGTTATCACAATTGACTACATAAAGTCAAGAGATTGAGTGGTTCACAGTTCATCAGAGTTTTTGGTACCAATACACTGGTGAGTTAAATCGTTCTATCCTGGGAGGATATATTCCAGCACCTCAGGTACTTGAGGGGAATAATTTCCTTAAGGACACACTTTGTATTCAGTGGGTTCGATTTATTCCTATACTGTTTTTGTTTTCCAGAATCTATTTCGTTAAACAAGTATTACTAACTTTCTGTTTTATTTTTTCAGAAAATTTAATTATTTATTACAGCAATACAGAATAATAACAGATCCCTCAAGTAACGAACATCATCTTGGCTCCTGCTGCGACTGGGGCTCCTGCTGTGACCCCTAACCGGAGAACGCTCTTTAACTGGACTTCTGCTGCGGCTCCTTCGACCATCATCATATGGTGAATGCTCTCTGACTGGAGTTTGACTGCGACTCCTTGAGCCATTATACGGTGGAGAAATGTCCCTTGCAGGGGAACGCGAGTATGATCTCTCACGGCTGTATCTTTTCTCTTCAGGTGAAACAGACCTGCAAAGTGAGGAGTAAATCATCATTAACAAAAATATGGAAATTTGGATTTGAACAAAAATCTAAAATATAATTTTTCGCACAAAAAGCAACCCAAGTGATAATATAAGCCAAGCAACAATGCTTTTTTCAGCCAAAATTAATAGAAAACATGCAATGATGCACAAATTGAAGTTAACATCAGCAGACAGGCTAACACCTTGGTTGGTTGTTGGATGCACACATGTAATTAAAGACCTAGAGCACCTTTAGTTACACCAAGGATTTAATACAACATAAACGTACAATAAACATAAAATAATACTCTGGCATACCTAGAGTACTGCCTCCTTTTAGGAATATAGCCACGGCTGCGGGATCGTGACCTTGCAATAAATAAATTCTAAAATATCAAATTGTTATAATCAACATCATTCTTTATCACCCATAATATAAACAATACCCTTAATCAATAATCAACAATCAACAACCCAAACCTATAACTGTTCATGCTTTTCTATCAAACCCATCAACTCATATATTATGAACTTAGAGTCTATAATCATGAATCCAATGTTATAATCATTTAGAGAGTGAAGATATTACCTTTTGAAGTTCAATCCTCTTGAATTTAAGTTCTAGGGTTTCGTTTCTCAACAATAATGTCCCAATCGAATGTCTAATGATTTGGAGGGTTTACCCATGTTAATAAAGTATTGGAGAATTAAAATTAACTTAGAATCACCATTATAACTTACCTTGGATGATGGAGGGACCTTGGAGGAAGTTAGGTTCTTGAGAGCTTCCCTTTCTAGAGCAAGTTTTAGTATTTTGGGGTGTGGGGGACGAGGTAGGGATTATAAAATGGCTTCCCGGGTACGCCCTCATAGAGATGAAGGCCCAACCGTGCATCAAAGGCACTGGCACTGCTACATGTGCGTGGCCGCGCACGGGAACAGTTGGGCGCGCACATGAGCACACAGATTGTGAATTGTCCAGTAAAATACATATAACCTTTTGCATACTGGTCCGTTCAGGATCCATAATATATTATTGGAAAGGTATATAAAGGAGCTACAACTATCATGTTTTAAGTTTTTCCAAATTCTCAATAGATGGTTACTAAACCTTGCTATAAGACAAACTTTCTATAAACTTAGTCGATTTTATCGAATCTTATGCACCACACTCTCTATTTTGATTCCAAAACAACTATTTCCACTCATACTCATCCCAGTAGGACTTCATATGTCTAAGATGTCAAAATAATACTCATTTAACACATCCACACCTAGTCTGAATTTATGAAGTGTTACATAACATGTACACCCAGTTGTTCTGCAATGCCTTCTTTCCTTTAAGTAATTCTGTAAGTGTCCATGTTTTATTCTTTTGAAGAGAATTTATCTCTTCTTTCATGGATAGTTTCCACTTATTAGAGTTAATCACCTGTATTATTTTAGTAAAATGCTTTGGTTCTCCAACATCAGTTGGATGTAAATAGTGGAGAGATGGAGAAAACCTATCTAGGGCATTAATGAATCTTTTAGATCTCCTTAATGTAGGTCCAGGGAGTAACTGATCCTGAATTTGATTTTAGCTCCAACTCCATATCTGGTTCTGATTCTAATTCTATCTCCGATTCTGGTTTTGATTCTGATCCAGATTCTACTTTTGGTTCTGCATCAGAATCAGTTCTAATCCTTCTAGCCACTTCATTTTTAGAGATTTTGTCCAACTCAACTGTTTCTGATGTCTGTTTGCTAGTGCTGGTTGGTTTTACTCCAAGCTTGTTCCTGTACATCATATTTTTATTGAATGTGACATTCGTGTGTCTTATGATCTTTCTATTCTGATCATCCCAAAATTGATAACCAAAATTATCATCATCATAGCCAATACAGAAATATTTTTTGCTTTTAGTATCAAGATTATCTTAATCATTGGAGTTTACATGCATAAGCAACACAATCAAAGATTTTTAGATATGAGAGAATTACCTCCTTCTTATCCATACCTCCTCGGAAATTTCAAAATACAGCGGTGTAGAGGGTCCATGTTTATGAGATAAGCTGCCATGTGAATCGTGTCGGCCCAAACATCCTCTTAGCAATGCCATTTTGTTCTGGTGTTCCAGGAACTTTCTTGATCATTCTAATCCCGTTCTCAAAGTAGAATACTTTAAACTATTGACTATCATACTCTCCTCTATTGTCAGACTTTAATCATTTTATCTTCAGGCTCATCTAATTTTCAACTTTGGCTTTCCATCTTTTAATGGTAACGAACAAATCAGATTTATTTTTCATAAAACAAACCCACCTTTATTGTGGAATAACTAATGAAGGTAACATAATAGCATGAGCCTCCAAATAAATACATGAGCTAGTCCCCACACATCCGCATGCACTAGTTCCCGCTTCTCTTTCTTTGGTATCCATCTCGTCTTTGAGGAACAGAATCTCTTTTGTTTCCCATAAATGCAATCTTCACATAAATCTAATTCAACAGGCTTGAGGTTTGGAAATTTTTCTTTGGATGCCAATAACTTCATTCCCTTCTTACTCATATGCCCGATTGTTACACCCTATATTTTCGTACGTGAAAGTATGCCATAAGTGAATTGATGAAAGTTCGAAAATGAGATATTACATCCAGCATTTTTGTACGTTAAAGTTTCATAGTAAGTTAATCGACATAAGCTCGGGAATGAGATTATTTGGAGGTTATAAGTATTATGCTATTTCAAACAAGTGATAAGTAAATTCGTGAAGGTGAGAGGGTAAGCGAATCAAAGAAAATGAATTCTGTCGAAGTTTGATATTTTGGGATAAAATACGGCCCGAGCTAAAATACCCGATATTTATGGACTAGTGCCATACAAGGTACCACATGATCATGATAGTAAGGTGTATAAGGTGTGTTAAAAGTAAGTAGTATTTTAAGTAATTTGAGATAATTCTTAATTATGTGGGTAATTGGTTAATTATGGATTAGTGAGAGATTAATAAACTAACAAATAATTAAAATTAGATAAGCTTGATGGATCTTACCACCAACATGGAAACCCATGAAGTGGTTAACACAAGCCACTAAGTGACTCATACAAGATGTAGCAAGGTGTTACATTATTAGAGTACATACAAGGTTAACATTTCTTTAAGCCTTCTGCACGTGAATTGCATAGATACATTCACTTTAGCAATGCAAGCTAATGTTTTCTTACCCCCCCCCCCCCTCAAAATTAGAAGATACAGCATCACATTGCAGAGAGATTGCATATGTGATTTATAATGGTTGGAGCTGTAATGTGATATTTTGCGATTCTAAGAAAGTACGGTGTAATCTTTCTCAAGAATATCATATGGATTTTTCCCTACTTCGATCTGCCATTACATGTTTTCGCAAAAGACGTGTGTTAGAGGAATCGTCAAGAGAATCAGTTCAGGTATATTAAGGCTATCCCTTCTTTCTCTTTGGCATGATCTATACGACACGAACGAAAAGAGCAAATGCACAACTTCCATAAATGACTCTATTCATAGAAGTATTAGGGGTGTCTATGTTATTGATTTCCCATGTAAATTATTATTATATCTTCTGTTCATGGGTCTCAGAAAAATACGTATTTGATAAAGTTTATCCGAAAGGCATATTGATTTTATGACAATCCAAGAAATCTTATGAACGTAATTCTTATGCATTTCATGCATCTATACATGTATATTGACCCATGACCAGATGGCATTATATACGCGTATGTTATATGTATATGGGATATGGGAAAAGGTTATGGCGTTATATACGTACCACCGCCTGATCAGCTGGTATACGTTGATGATTTGCCCACAGTGGTCGAGATAATATGATGGGATTCCCTCAGAGGCTTGATGATGATATGAACGCATATACCTATGCATGGTATGACATTTATATGCATATGCATGGCATTATAAATATGAAATAATTTACAGAGCTATTCAGACATACATGTTGAGTCTTTTACTCCATGTTTCTCTCATGTCTATTATTTACTGATTTTCATTCTTTACATACTCGGTATATTATTTCTATTGGCGTCCCTTTGCCGGGGGATGCTGCGTTTCATGCCCGCAGTTCCGATAGACAGGCTGAGAGCCCTCCAAGTAGGCTATCAGCTCAGCGGAAGATGTTGGTGCACTCCATTTGCTCCGGAGTTGCTATTTGGTCAGTATCATCATGACATGTATTGATTGGTATGGCGGGGCTCTGTCCCAACCTTTATGATTTTTATGTACTCTTAGAGGCTTGTAGACAGATGTCAGGTATATGAAAGATTGTATGGCCTTGTCGGCCTATGTTCAGTGTAAGAGTGCTTATTTTGGCCGTATAGGCCCGTATATCTTAAGTATAAGTTGATATTTCATGTTGTATTCTACTTATCTCACGACAATCTCTCCGGCTCAGTTATCTATGATTGTATGATAGGAAAAGATACGTTATGTTGGTACTCGGTTGAGTAAGGCACCGGGTGCCCATCGCGGCCCATCGGTTTGGGTCGTGACAAAAGTGGTATCAGAGCAGTTCTGTCCTAGGGAGTCTACAAGCCGTGTCTAGTAGAGTCTTGTATATGGGTGTGTTGTACACCGCACTTATAAGCAAGAGGCTACAGGGCATTTAGGACTATCACTCTTTCTTCTTACTCTATATAGTGTGGTAGAGCTCACTTATAAGAATTCAAATTCCTAAATTCTATTCGTAATACGATGATACCTACATCCAGAAAGACAGTTGGTAAGAGACTGAATGTGGCTATGGAAGATTTGAGTCAGAGAAACTCGATTTTTCATGATGCTTATGATGAGTAAATGTAAGGTCTTTAGTAGATCATGTGTATACTAAAACATGAAAGCCTCTTGATAAGGAGCCTTAAGGCAACAATATCTATCCACCCCTATGGTGAAAGGCAATGAGAGATTTAGAAGGTAGATACAAGCTTCAACGAGTAAAAGGAGCAAGGTGAGAATGGTACGAGGTACCCAGTTAATGAAGATTGTTAGAATTTACAATTCAGGCAGAAAAATATAAGCATTTTGAGTCACCTTCAATAATAACAGATGTATGTACAATTGGCCACACCCATCTCATTTATGCCCTATGGGGATAACAAAAGTAGTTTAAGAGAAGAACGGGATATCAGGACCCGACTGGGATAGAGTAACCCAAAATGATGGATGGATTTTTGCGTTAGTTGACATTTCTGAAGGATATTGCAAATGTGCTAATAGATCTCCTTGTGAGACACCCAGATGATGCACTCTAAAATAATACAGCTAGATGTGACTACTACAAAGATAGGCACTGGAGGCCTTGAAAGGGATAAATATTACCTTAGTGTAGCTCCCGTACCTAGTGGAGAAAGAACGTTAGGCAACCCAAAGAGCCAGTAGATGGAGCAAAGGGAACTAAAAGCAAAAGAATGTCTTGTTCGAGTTTTCAGAATAAAGTGATAGACATAAATGTTAGCGGGGAATAAGAAGAGAGTTAATGAAGCATTATGAGTGAGATGTGATACATGTATGACAACGGTAGATCAAGAAGATGATAGTATTACAGAATCTATAGTCAAGTGAAGGAAAGGACGAGAGGCGACAGGACTTGAGACAACAAAAGTGTATAGGCCATAAAGTCATATCCTCATTTCGAGAAATAAGTCCGTGACTCCAACGCGACTACCAAAAGGAAAACGTTAGACCCCAGAGTAATAAAAAATCAGCATGGACTGATGAACAAGATAAACTAAGCATGAACTAGGGACCGAGAAATAGTCGGCATCATGAGAATTTCAGAGATTGTGTCCCGGCGATAATAGAATGGACGGCAAAAGAATACCCTTTAAAGGTCATTCAGGAAGACGCTTCCCCAAAGCAAGCAAGGTGAGTAAAGTTAAGCTTAAGGGACTGTATGTGCCAGTTACACTAAGTGTCACCCTCGCGAGTGAGGAGTTTTGTTATCCTTGGTACAGAAAGATTACCGTGAGGCGAGTAAGGATCATCGATGATGTGAAAATATGCCAAAGATGAGAAGGTAAAACATCTATACGTAGATCATCGTAACACTAAATCTTAGTACTCCCCTAAAGGGGGAATATGGAGTGATGTAGCATTAAGTCAAAATTAAGTGGTTCTAGTAATTACGGAATGGTAAAGGAAGAATGCGATAAAAATAAGATTGCACTTATTCAAATCCTACATATATGCTACGATTCCAAAATATTATGCAAATACAGTGTCAAGGAGAGGGAGTAAGGGTTCCTGCCCGGGATGTTATTGATAAATAACTAACCAATGCGAGTGGTAAGTTAAGACAAAAGGAAATAACCCAAGAAAGATTACACGGAATATTGATATGAGAATGGGCCAACGAGTAGTTAGTAATTGATTCAGGAAGAGTCTAGTTATGGCTAGATAAGAGGTTACATATAAATCAACAAATCGTGCAAGATAAACATAGTGAACCCAAACATGGGAATTCAGTCTCACAGATATGACATTGTGATTCTTGAGATATATTCAGATAGGAGTTGGGGTAGTTAAAGGTAAATAAAAGAGAATGTCACTGGGAAGACAATCAAAACTTCAGTTCATGAGCAATCCTACAAGTACAAGGGCGTGAAAATAAGTAACTGCGGATAATTATAGGCAAGGAAGAACATCAAATATTCTGTCAAGTATACGATGTAATAAGCTCGCAGCTTTACAAGAGTCAGAAGGTCTTCCTTAAGTACTACAACGAAAGACTAGCTGAGGAAATAAAGAAGAAGGCTTC